AGTGTTCTTTCTTTGTTCTAGAATTGTGCAAACATCTTACCTTGTGAGATTTTTTTGTAAGTTTGTAAAGTTTGTAATTTTCTCTTTGAGAAGAGAGTGTCTCAAGAATTTGGGGTATAATTATTGAGGGAGTTGTAAGGTTACTCTTTGTCCTCAAAAGAAAGACAAATTAGTGAATTTGTGGAAAATCCTTAGTGTGGATAGCTAAGGTAGTGGACGTAGACTTTGGTTGAGAAAGTTGAACCACTCTAAATCGTCGTGCAAATCTTTTCTATTTTCTATCCAAGCTTCCACCAAAACTTTAATTGCCAATTCACCCCATGTTGGTTATTTCTTCCGATCGATTAACTCAACAGCTTAGTACAAAATAACTCAGGGCGATAAGGGTTATCTGTCAACAAAAACCTTCAAGTTCAATTACATTCAGCTCGAGGGCATATCAACGACATGGTAGCATCGAGGAACTACTTTCCGATTAAAGTTTAAACCAGGGTCTTTAAAGTCAAGAAAAATATTTGGGGCAATCTCTCAGCTTAGTACAACATAACTCAAGGTGATAAGAGTTATATGTCAACAAAAACCTTCGAGTTCGAGGGAATGTCAACCACATGGTAGCATCAAGGAACTACTTTCGATTGAATTTCGAAACCGAGGTCTTTAAACCGAGAAAAATATCAAGGTTGACTACAATAAGCCACCTTTCGATTCAAATTTCAAACTACGATTTCAATTTCATGAAAGAGTATATCATTTCAAGACTGACTCAACTTCGTGACGGAATAGTCATCCGCAGCTCAATTTAACAGGGAGTTATTCTTAATTACAATATCAGAGTCAATTTCAACTCTACAATGGAGGATATTAGACTCAGGGACCCCTTTATACCGAATGAAAATTTGTGTCATTTTATCTTTGTCCTATTTTTCGTTACACAAAAAAGGACAAATAGGGGCAACTGTAAACACTCATTTTTGTCCGGAGTTTTTTTTATCGTATAGTTTTTGAAAGAATTTTTTTGAAAAATATAGTTTTTTTTAAAAAATCGATTTTTGAAACATATATATATATATATATATATATATATATATATATATATATTGAAAACATTTTGAAAATATATATAATATATAGTTTTGAAAACATTTTTGAAAATATATATATTATATAGTTTTGAAAGCATTTTGAAAACATATATAATATATAGTTTTTGAAAACATTTTGAAAAAAAATATATATAATATATAGTTTTAAAAATATTTTGAAAATATATATAATATATAGTTTTGGAAAATAGTTTTGAAAATGTATATAATATATAGTTTTGAAAAATATTTTTGAAAATGTATATAATATATAGTTTTGAAAATATTTTTGAAAATATATTATATAGTTTTAAAAACAATTTTTGAAAATATATATATTATATGGTTTTGAAAACAATTTTTAAAAGCATATATAATATATAGTTTTAAAATGATTTTTATTTTTATTATATATTATATTAATATTATTTGTTTTTATTTATTATTTTATTAATATTTTTCCTTTTTATTCCTTCTCTTTCTCTGATTTTATTTTTTTGTTTTGTTTAAGGTCCAATAAGGGTCCAAGTCAGGGCCTGCCTAACCTAGCATGCCAAGATCGGGTCAAGCCCGAATACCCAGCAGACCCGATTCAGAGCTAAACCCAAAAATTAGGGTTACACGTTCAGCAAGGGTGACGCTTGCATGAGGATAGTTGGATCTGGCCACCCGATCTAACGGTCACAAAGGCAGTCAGAAAACACCGAGAGACCAAGCGAGAAATCCAATCGAAAACCAGTCACAAAATAATCAAGGCAGTGAGTCCCGGCTTAGCCGGGACTGACCCATCCCGTTTTAGCCGATCAAACAAGCAACGGCCCGAAAAGAACGGGAACAGCCCGTTGAGGGCGAAAACAAACCACCGGCGGTGGGGTATAAATACCCCACCAAATCTGTCAAACAAGACACACACAACCAACGATCTGAAGAGGGATCCGAAAACGAAAAAACAACACAACACATCGAAGATCGAATAGAAAAAAGGCAACCAAACCACCAATTTCACAAGCAAAATAAAAAGCAAGATATATAAAGCAAAAAAAAATCGAAGCCAATCAAAGTTACACAAACAAAATAACAAAGGATCCTTCGCAAAAATCAAGATACAAGGAGATCTGTTAGCACGAGGAAAAGCACCACCGTGAGGAACGAGAATGCCGAAATACAAAAGGTTAATAGGGACAACTTTAATCAATCGAAGGTAAGTAATTTAAATCGAGTTTTCAAATTTAAATTTAAATTTTAACTTTTCGCAATTAAGACAACCGACAAATTAAATGGTACCAAAAGGACAGTTCAAGGGTGTTAACCCTTCATTGACTGTAACTGACTCCTGAATCTGACATATTTCTGGTAAAATGTAGATCAGGTAAAATGGTGTCCGATCAACCTAAATATTGTTTTTAAAATGGTCGGTGGCGGCTCTAACATTTTTTCAAGTCGAAGCCCAATTTCGGGCCCACCCGAAAGACGATTGCGACAGTATCGATACTGTAATTGAAGATGAAATTCCAGAATATCATAATGGTATCGATACTGAAGTAGGTATCGGTACCATAGAAGAGAAGTATCAGTGCAATGTGTAGAGTACCGATACTATTCAGTCTGAAAATTTAAATTCTGGGTTTTATTTCGTTTATGTAAATGCTAATTAGTTAGCTGTTAATTGAGATTCGGTATTTATCTTGGACATGTTGATGTGTAGATTTGGATCGAAAACATACTGAGCGAATCGACGTAGTAAATAGATTGAACGAAAGTTGAAAGGATTTCGTGTAGGACTTACGTGAGGCAAAGGTGAGTGCAATTTATTTATTTTATATTAGATATGAGGATGGCTTGCGATAAGCCAACCTCGAAGGTTTTCAATCGAAAACAATTTTATTTATTTATGCAATATTTTTTATGATGTTTTATATAAATTGTATTTCTGAAGCACTGTTATGATTTTTATTAGTATGTGAATATGATATATGTGAATGTGTTTTACGTGAAAAGTTTCTATGCGAATATATTCTATGTGAATGTGTTATATGTGGATAAATGATACTTTAATAATGTAAAATGAAATACCAATACGATTGCGACAGTATCGATACTGTAATTGAAGATGAAATTCAAGAATATCATAATGGTATCGATACTGAAGTAGGTATCGGTACCATAGAAGAGAAGTATCAGTACAATGTGTAGAGTACCGATACTATTCAGTCTGAAAATTTAAATTTTGGGTTTTATTTCGTTTATGTAAATGCTAATTAGTTAGCTGTTAATTGAGATTCGGTATTTATCTTGGACATGTTAATGTGTAGATTTGGATCGAAAACGTACCGAGCGAATCAACGTAGTAAATAGATTGAACGAAAGTTGAAAGGATTTCATGTAGGACTTACGTGAGGCAAAGGTGAGTGCAATTTATTTATTTTATATTAGATATGAGGATGGCTTGCGATAAGCCAACCTCGAAGGTTTTCAATCGAAAACAATTTTATTTATTTATGCAATATTTTTTATGATGTTTTATATAATTGTATTTCTGAAGCACTGTTATGATTTTTATTAGTATGTGAATATGATATATGTGAATGTGTTTTACGTGAAAAGTTTCTATGCGAATATATTCTATGTGAATGTGTTATATGTGGATAAATGATACTTTAATAATGTAATATGAAATACCAATATGGTTAAAGTCCAAAGTATATGTTATGAGAATTAGAGATATAGTTAGCATGTCAAGAGTCGAGGGTTCTATACGGTCCCTTCGAACAATTCTATGTGGTCCTTCAGGACAAATTCTACGCGGTCCTTTGGGACAAATCTATGTGGCACTTCGGTGCAAATTCTACGCGACAATTTCGACTGCAATTACAGTGCACAACCTCAATGTACTCACATACCTTGAGTTTTTAGTGATATGTGTTGGGCTATTTAAACAAATTAATATGAATTGAACAATGTATAACATTAAAAGTATGTTTATGAAATGTGAGTGTTTTCACACGTAGGTTCAAAGAGATCCGAATAAAGCTAAGAGTAAAGCTAGTAAATGACAACATACAATTGAAGACGATCAGATCAAAACGATTTGAATTGTAGGTGTTTTTTTTATTTTGAAATTTTGTTGGCATGTATCATAAAGTTTTAAATCGTAATGCTCTGATCAGTTTTGTAACCATACTATTTTAAGTTTTATGAATATATATAAAATATTTATTCATTGTGAATTATGAATTTCCAATATTAACGGTTGTATATGAGTTCACCACTAAAATACAAGTAAAAGTTTAAATTTTCAACGAATTTTCAAAGAGTCAAAGTTTTGAAAAGTCAATGTGATACCTCATATCCGTATCTAGATCGAGTACAGATTGAGATTGTTACATTTATTTAATTAAAAATATTTAAATAAAAAATAATACATTTCAAATACTTATTCATGATATAATACTTATTATTATAATTGAGGTGTTGATTATAGCTGAATTGAGTGTTTGAGATAAATGAGGTGGCGTGGGCGGTGTCCAAACTAGAGCCTGTGAGTGAGTTGTGTTGCACACAGCAGGACCTTCCTCGCCTCTTCGTTAACTCTAAATCTGATTCAAGGGCAACACTTCCTGACATGTTTGCAATTCTTAACAATACAGTCTGTCTTTTGCTGTCCTGCAAAGCAATAGCATGCATGCATCCATACATATTCAAATAAATATAAACCAATTCAGATAATTATATTAGGATGACGTGTAACAGGTCTAGATATAGTCCTTTACACATAGATGAGATCCTCTCCTCTTCCTTTTCTTGATGAAAAAAACACAATCTTTGTAAACCAAAAGTGAAATCGCAGCTGCATCTTAAACTACATGTTAAGTCATACAATATTTATACATCACATTACGACTGTACTTCTCTAAACCATTAACCAAAATTACTCATTGAACCTACTCCAACCCTCATTTGCGTACAATATATCGATAAGCACCAGCCTTCTTTCTCCTGGAAGTTGTATTTTCCACGGACAGCACCATTTTGCCTGCTTCTCTTGAGGTGAAGGAGTTGTGAATGGCCACCTCTGAAGCACTTACTTTCCTCGTCTTCTCCACTGCAATGGTGTAGCTTCCTTCTGCGTAGGGGACGAACTCTGCACTATATTGCAAGTCCCATCCCCCCACTACCAGCTCCCATGTTATGGTTGCTCCACCCTCAATCCCTTGGATTTGGATGTTCACTTTCTCTCCTCCTTTGACTGTGAACTCCGATGCCGGTTTCTGCAAATCGTTGGGTCCACTCAGACCACCATACTGCACTGGAACATCTTCAGACCTTATAAACCTGTCCAAAACTTGAGCATTTTACCATACGAGTTCCCCAAGGTAAACAAGTAAACGGAGGGAAAAAAACTCACTTGTAGAGCGTTTCGGCAGCGTATCCTTCTCTGGAAATCACAAACTTGCTCTTAGTTCGCTGAGTTAGAAACGGACTGAACATCGAGTACAGTGCACTGAAGTACCATGGGACATTGATGAAAATCTAAGAAAAACAAAAGGAATCTCCACAACAGTTAGAAGAGAAAGAGAGACGCATTTCTCTGACTATCTATCATGGATTTATGTTCACCGTCACGATAAAAACAACTCAATCGAAAATAATTTAAATCCTGATTATATAACCTTTCGAGCCACCATTTCAGGGTAATTGTCTTGAAAGAGGGAGAGGAGGTGATTGGAGGCAAGCCTAAGCTCCCTCTTGGGCATGTCTTTGAGATCAGTGACCTGAACAATAGAGTTAACCCCGCCAGGCTTGAAGTGCAAGAGACCGATTCCTCTCTCCAGAACTTGAATTCTCCATCTCAAAAACTTGTTCAACTTCTCTTCATCGCCGAAGATTCTCTCATACATTTCCTTATCTTTAAAAACTCCATAAGCATTGTAGCAAACAGGGTGGCCTTCCCTGTCGTAGCCATGCATATAAGCAACAACGCCATCCAGCTCCTTGAATCCCAACTCTTCTTCCCCAACACCGTCGGCCTTGAACTCTTTCCTCCAAGCAAGACACTTTTGCAACATGTTGAAGGAATCCGAAACCCTGAAGTCCCTGGCTCGCAAGAACTTCAACAAAACGACATCCGCTTTCTCATCTTCGGCAAGAAGAGGGACACCCCACATGGTGCATTCCCCGTCCGGGCCATAAGAAGCCATGAGCTCGTCCTTGAGCTCTTGCAACGCCTTCTTCTCGGAAGACTTCAAATGGGAGATGAAGTAGGTGTCTTCCTTGAAAGGGGAGCGGAAGCTGGTGGCCTCCATTAAAGTAGCAACAAAGCTTTTCTTATAAGGCTTGGGAGAGGCCTCAGGAATGGAAACGGGCGAGTGTGCATTCTCCATTATGAGAGAAACCGGGATGGAATCTCTACAGAAACGAAAGAGTTTTGTGTGCAAGGGATTTGTTTGCAATGAGTAGTATATAAGGAAGAAGAAGAGGGGTTTGATTGAAGAAAAGAGAAGAATACTTTGCAGGGAAAAGAAAGTGACGACTGCACTGCAACACCCAATGACCAAGAGGAGAAGATTACTTAATGAGATACAAAAGGAGATTAGGTAAAGAAAGAAATCAATTTTTTTTGAGCGGGAAATTGCTTACACAAAATAAACAATGGTAAACTACATGTTTAGTCCATATATTATTACTTTTATTCTATTTTGATATTTAAACTTTATATTTTACAAAACGATACCTAACATTTAATTTAGGTTTTATTTGGATTCAGTGTGAAAACTTAACGAAACTAGACTTTTTTTATGGGTAAAATATATTATTCACCACTCAATTATCTTCTCACTCTTATTTTGGTCATTAAAGTTAAAAAAATTCAATTTAATTATTCAACTTTCAAATTGTTTATGTTTTAATCATTCTAATTTATTTTATTAATATTTTTGTGATATTACAGTATTATTATTATTATTTTATTGATATATAATTAAAATAAAAAAATAAATTTAAGATTATATTCAAACCCAAAAATTATAAAACAAACCCCTCATATATTAATAAAATAAGTTAAAATGATTAAACTATGAGTAATTTGAAAATTAAGTGATTAAATTAAAAAAAATAAATTTCACTGACAAAAATAGAAGTAAAAAGATGGTTGATTGATGAACGATATAAATTACCCATAAAAAAATATCATGTAAAACAATTTCATAAAGTTTTTAACAACTACTAAAATAAAACATTAACTAAACGTTATGTATGATTTAAAATAAAATAAAGTTTATATATTAAAATGAAATAAAAGTAATAATGTAGGCACTAAGCATGTAGTTTACCCAATAAACAAACAATCAACAAAACGTGAACTTGGTTTTTTGAACTTGAAGACGGAGTCGAGGGAGTGGTTTGCACGCGCAGAGAGAAGCGACTGGGGAAGTAAAGGCGTAACGCGGTGCCTTGCAGAGATGGCGATAATTATTGAGGAGAGCACGTGATTCAATTGGTCTTCCGGTGGGACCCAAATAACCAGCTTTCTCTTTCTTAGTGGGACCCTCTTTTCTTTAACTTGATTTTCTATTTAAAACAAATTAGATAAAATCACGTGTAACAGTCTTAATATATAATTAAAAAAAATGTTATCGGTTTTATTATTATTTAAATAATAAAATCAATAAAAATTATCAAAAATATTATTATTTCTATCGATTTTGTTATTATTGAGTGTTTTAACGATTTTATTAACAAAACAGATAAAATACTATCAGTTTTGTTATTTTTTCTACAATTTTCATTATTATTTGACATTTTACTGTAAATATTAAAAAATATTAATATTTTATGTATAAATAATAATATTTTAAATAATTTTTTATCAATTTTATTATTTAAATAATAACAAAATCAATAACTTCTTTTTTAGTTTTATATTAAAAATGTTCCACTATAAAACTTCCCAATCAAACTCTTTTTTTTCTCCTCTCTTCTCTCCGGAATATCTCAGGAAAGGCAAGTTAATATACGGCTAATATACGGCGTTACCGGATACATTAAAAGATATTTAACAAATTCGGTTTAGCGCTATTGGAAATGTTGTCTAATAATAATGTAGTAGGTCTAAGTCATGAAGAAATATTAAAAAATTGTGCAACCGGCAAACTTAACTTGTCGGTTCGTGTCGATCCAAATTAAAAATGTGTCGATCCAAAACGATATAACAGGTAAAACTATGACAAAACCAGTATTGAAATGATAAAATCGGTAAAGCGCTACCGGATACATTTAAAGTGGCGGTACTTTAATATAAGGATCGACACTTCGTGAATTTAAAAGAGAAGCAGTTTTAAGTCCTATAAAGTATCGATACTTTTAAAAAATGTATCGATCCAAAACGATATACCAGGTAAAAATATGATAAAACCGGTAAGAAAATGATAAAACTAGTAAAACGTTACCGGATATATTGAAAGTGTCGATACTTTATATAAGGATCGACACTTTGTGAATTTAAAAGAGAAGCAGTTTTAGCGCCTATAATGTGTCGATACTTTAAAAAAATATATCGATCCACAACGATATAACAGGTAAAAATATGATAAAACATGTATCAAAATGATAAAACCGGTAAAATGATACCGGATATATTGAAAGTGTCGATACTTTCGTAAGTACGTGTAATAAATTATCGACACTTTCAAAGAAATAGGTAATTATCCTTTCGAAAGTATCGACACCTGACATAAAAGTATCGACACTTTTGTATTTGTATCGATTAAATATAAATAACATATCCGATGAAAATATAAGCTAAATATCCTCTGAAAATAGATAGAACGGACGAGTTTTTGAAATTGAAGCGTAATTGTTGCTGCATTTCAGAAGGCGTTTCTAAAGCGAAGTTTGTTTGTTTGTTGCTGCAGTCGAATCGAAAAGTATGTTGTCGAAACCCTAATTTTTTATTATTACAGTAATCGCGATAGGGTTTTTATGTGTTGTTTGGGGTTTTGGAGTAAAGAAGCATTTGGGACCGATTGCAGGTAGAAAGTGATATTCAAGGAAAAATATAAATGTCGATACTTTTATTAAATATTATAGGTAGAAAATGATATTATAGGTTTTTATAAATGTGCCGACACATTTTGGTGTGGCCATTCAAATTCTTTTGAAGAAAACCGTTTTACCACAAGAGTAGTTATCTATATTTGTATATTGAATAAAGTGTATGTAACAAAATAATTTGATTTGCGTAAACTGATATATGAAGGAAAAATGGAGTCAATGGGTTGGAAAATTGTTGGTGGAGCAGATGACTTTGAAATTGAGGCCGAGACTCTAAAGCAACCAAAGGGTGGATATATGTACTTCTAGTAAGTATCAATGTCTTTTTGTTATTATTGTTGAAATGGTAATTGGATTAAAGTATCGATAAACTTTAAATTGATTACAAATTTTAAATGTTGACAGTATGGCCGAATGCAAAAGGATGAAGGAAGATGGCACACAGAGCGGTTTGGTATGTAAAATGAAATTGACATTGAGTAGTATTTAGTGTTAATGTATTGATTAAGAAACGTTTATGTTTAATATTAGGTGACAAAAGATGTGAGGTCCAAATGGAATTCAATGAGTGATGCTGAAAAGGAACCTTACATCACACAGTCAAGGAATGATAGTAAAGAATACAAAGAACGGAGGAAAGCACATGAAAATAAGGTATTCATTAAACTTGTAAATACGTTGATACAAAATATATAAGAACTATAACATTATATATTGTTAAAAAATGTAGGAAGTGTCGACAAGATGCAGCATTAAAAAGGTGAATTTATTAATTAAACACCTTAAGGAGAAGGGTTAGTTGAATGTGCTGGGAGAAATAGGTTTTGGATCGTTGGTAGGAGTAAGGGATCGACCTATTCGGAGGGAATTATGTCGATCCTTGATGGCGCAATTTGATGTCAGACAATGTATTACTAAGTATGGTGATTTTTCATTTCCTCTCGGGATCCCATGTGCTGCAGCCGTATTGGGGGTAGAAAATGAAGGCAAAAGTGTTGTAGAAGTCTGTAAGAGTAAGGACTGGAAAGCACTTGCCTCCAAATATGGTTTGAAGAATAAGGTGACATATGCTGAAATTGAAGAGGAAATAAAAAGTGGATCTTACGTTGGGGATGAGCTGAAGGCCAGAGTTCTATTATACCTTGTCGGTATCTTTCTTTGTCCAACGGGTAATACGTCAACGAACAAGGAACATATGAAGCTCATTTGTGATGAAGGCTTGAAGGGTGAATTCAATTGGGCTGAATATATCCATTCGAGATTGATTGAATCAATAATCACCTTTAAAAAGGGCAGTCAGAGATACCTCAAAGGGTGCATAGCAATCTTAGAGGTAAATGAGTTGAATAACTTTTTTGTGTTTTTATATAAAAATATAAATTTTATTATAAATGCAGGTTGCACTGTTCGATTTTTGGTCGAGCTGTGAGGCAATGCCGGCTTATGAAAGAACCGGAGTGGCACGCATCCATGCATGGGGGAAGGAAGAGGTGGTTAGAGTGATGGTGAAGTTGAAGCTGGATAGAGCGAAGAAGCAAGAAAGGGTAATAAATGTAATTAAATAATATTAAGAATATAATCAATGTCTTAATACTGTAATTTAATTTTGAAGGTTATTGGCAAGGATGTAGAGGAGGCAGTCGAGGCATAGGAGAAGAAAGAAGGGATGGTTGTATTGGGGGATGACGGTGAGTGGGACGACGGTGAGGGAAAACATAGTAACTTCGACATTTTGATGTCTGAATTGGCTGATATAAAAAAAATCCAATTTGATATCATGCAAAGACAATCAAGAGTCGAAGAGAAACTTGAGAGAGTCGAAGATACACTTGAGAGGCATAAGGGGGTAGTGGAAGGAAAAATAGATGGAGTGGTGAAAGAAGTAGAGGTGTTGAGGGGTGAAGTGGTGAAAGAAGTTAGGGTGTTAAGGGGTGATATTAAGATGGTGACGGGTGAAAAATTTGAGGGAGTGGTGAAGGAGGTTGTGGAATTGAGGAGTGAACTTACGGGGGTGAAGGGGGTGGTTGATAAATACTTGGATGAAGGAGATCAATTGAAGGGTGAAATAAAAGAGATGAAGAGCTATGTAGAAAAAAAATACGATGAACTGAAAAAATATGAATAAGAAAATAGGGAGGAGGAAGAAGAAGAGATGAAGAAATGAGGAGGAAGGAAGTCGATGTCATTTATACACCGGAGAGTGTTATAGCAGCAGATTTGGATTCGGAATGTCCTGCACCCCAGAAGAAGAAGCAGAATGTAAGTTGAATAAAAGAAAACTTAATTTGATTTTTATTATGTTGTTGTGACAAAAATTTGTATGCAAAATTGTATGTTGAAAAAGCGGATATTCCAAGCGGAATTGATGACATCGAAGCTGCAATTTGTGATTATTTATGGAATAGTGAGTTAGAATC